ATCTACTATGTACAACTTGCTATTACTTTTAAATATATGATAAAGTTATCTTGTAACTTTCTCTTTTTTCCCTTCCCTCTGCCACCCTCGAGATGGCTATCATTAGACACAAATATCTGTGTATATATTATGAGTGTGCAAAACCATTCTATACATACTTCTACTCATCAATTCTTTCTTTGGATATAGGGAGCCTTTTCCTTCATAGGTACTTTATAGGGAATTTGGGAACTTATAGTCAAAATGACTTAGTTGTTCAGTCATTCTTAAGACAATATTGCTGATACCGTATACAATGTTTTCTTGCTTCTGCTCATTTCACTCTTCATTATTTCATTTTAAGTCTGACTGTGTATATTTAAAGAAATCCACATCAGTGGGTAACTCGTAGTTTACGTAGCATAGTGTTTGGTGACAATAAAAATTTCCGTGAGCTTAGGTCATGCCAGGGCTACTGCTTTTCCTGTCAAGGAGGAGGAAAGAATTGTCATACAACTTAATCAGGCTCCTTATTCTGTCACCATCACTGCTGATGCCCAGAACATCATGTTCCCCGATCTTCTCCCTGGGCATGTAAGTAATCTTAAGTAAAAGGACAAGGGAAGGGAGGAGAGGAGATACGAAATCATTGTCTTACTACAAGTAGGCAGCTGACCTCCCTACTCTAAAGACAGGCTGTTGAATTCACCCATCTGCCCAAAGCATAGGTCCCTCATCTCAAGTTGAAAATCACTGTTGATAACTAAGAAGTTAAAGATACTCAAATGAGCAAAGATAGAGGGGGAGAAAGAATTCATCTACTCACATTCTGGGATAATGGAAGAGGAACATATGTGGAAAAGGGGAGGACTGTCTGCCTTTTGAAAAATGAGCATAAAAAAAGAAAAAAAAAGAAAAAAAAAGAAAAATGAGCATGGAAATAAAAGAAAGCAACACTTATTCCATCTCAGGTTTATAGGTTTGCACTTCAAGGTTTGCAAAAACACTTTTTTCACAACAATCCATTGAAGAAGGTATTGCATGTATTATTTTTCCCAACATACAGATGACAAAACCAAAGCAAAGAAAAGTCAAAGGATTTGGCCAACATCCCCACAAATGCTCAGTGTTGGAGCCAGGACTAAATCTGTTTCATTTTTGTCTTCATTTTTCCAGTTCCTAGAATAGTGCCTGCCACACAGAAGGCCCTTAATAAATGCTTCTTGCTTCTGTCTTGACCCTTGAGCTCTTTCTACAACATGGAAAGATAAAAGCTTTTTTTCTACTGGAAAGCTGGAAATGGCCAACTTTAACCAGTCAGCAATTGAGTTAAATCATTATTTTGAAAGAACATGAAGGCTAAACCAATACCTGGACATTCAGTGACTGCACTGAGCATCTCATTACCTAGTTTAACCTTGGAATGTCCTGACACTCTATGGACCATGAATGCATGAAATGGGGAATTGCAAATGACTTCCACATAGCAAGGAGGGCTTTTCAACACATGAGTGGAAAGATGAAGAGTTGTATAAGTGTAACATGCTCAGTGCTAACGAGTGTTCTGCATGCCTAAGGTTTCTGCACCTTTTACTCTTAGTGGTTCCATAGGATGATACATGGATGAGTCAGCCTTCTGTGTTAGGTGCTTTACTCATTTCCTGAATGCCAGGCATCAGATACTCATTAAGTTTCCAATCATTCCACAGCAGCAACAGGTGGTGAAACAAAGCTTCTGTGGCTGATTTCCTCAATGCCCTGGAAACATGGAAGGTATTTGTGCTCTCTCTGTAGCAGCAGATGATGAAGGGGGCAGGGGAGAAGGAAAGTTGAATAGCAACAGGAAGTATTTCCAAAGCATAAACAAAAACTCAGATGGTGAAGCAAATCTTTTGGCTACCACCCATTCTACATTTTTTGACATGGTGGTTTCATCTTATAGAGGTACCTGCTCAGGCAAAACATGAAATCCTGGCTATCTGATTGATTACTTGGCAGATCCTCAAATAAATCTGTTATCCCATTGAGTATCCCCTCAACTGTGAGAGAATTCAACCCATTCACACGTCTTTTTTAGTCAGTGGGAGTCTTGTCCATCCCATTCCTAAATCCTCCAGAGAAGATCTACCCGACGTGCCAGAGGCCTTTCTCTGTATTTTTTGTTTTGTTATAGTATATCATAATTATCCACTATGACTTTTAGTAAAAAACATAGTAAACTGAAGGGACATCCTAAGTGAAGCCACATCAACAGTGCTGTATCCACTGAGCCACCTTGCTGCCTCCAAGGCAAAGGTTAAATGACTTGCCCAAGATCACACAACTAGTAAGTGTCTGAGACTGGATTTGAATTCAGGTCTTCCTGACTCCAGGCCCGGCACTCTATCCACTAAACTACCCAACTGCCATATAAGTTATAGGCTACCAACTGACATTTACAAATGTTCAAATCTACTAACTTCTATCTCTATCTCTTAAATGACTTCCAAAGCTACTATATCCTGAACTAGAAAGAAAAGGTGAAATGTATTAGAGGAAAATATTGGCCCAATGGACAATATAGTTATACTGATAGTTATCTCCAAGTGCTCGATGTGGAAGCCTCTCTAGATAATGCTAAATAGGGATTTATGTCAAGTGACAGGATCTGTCCACACCTAGAGCCCCAGGTTACCACTAGCAAAACAAAGTGCTTATTTTAGTTGGACTACCTCCACAAAACAAACCAGGAAAATTCCTATGGGACTGGGGCTTAAGACCATCTTTTTTTTCCTAAAGGTAGTAGACTATTAGCTTTTACTCTCCCCAACATGAGAAAGTATAAAAATTGTGAGTTACTCCACCTCAAATGCCCACTGGATTAGTCTGAACCTGGAGCATATGAAATTATTAAAATAAAATAAGAACCTAATATTAAATCATTCCAATAAAATAATATGGATTAGTAACTAACATCATCATATGGAAAAGAACAGAATAAGTGTATTTTCCTTAAATTCTGCACACAAAAAAAATCCCAACAAGTCAGGGAAAGAGAGGAAAAGAAAACAAAATTCACTTTGAAGTGAGCTGTCTTTTGATACTGCCTGAGCACCCTGTCAGGGCGCCTATTTGTCAATCTTGTAGGATTCCTGCTGTTATTCTGAGTAGCTACTAAAGCTAAGGTAGTTGCAGTTCTCACTTCTTCCACTACATGCCTCAGGTTATATCCCTTTCCCATGAAACTACCAGTTTCTCTTTTAGCCATCTCATTTTCATAAACTTCCTTTCAAATTTCTGACTTTAAAAATTAAAAGTGTACATAAGAGTATATACACACACACACATATTATATATATGTAAAAGTTTCCCTATATCCATGGAAAGACTGAAAATTGACACAAAGTAATTCTAAACTGCCTAAATGCAAGTGATTTATGCATTTTTCTTTGTTAAACATCAAGGCATGTCGAGTGATTATAATTGCTTGACATTCAGGCAGTTCAGGAAGTTATTGTCGTAAGAGTATTTTTTTTCTTCCGCTAAGGAATCCAAGAGGAAAATAGCTAAACTTCTATGACGCTGGTATAATAAGAGGCACAACTAAAAAAAAAAGAAAAAGAAAAATGCCAGAAACATATTAGAATTCTGAACACCATCCAAAAAGACAAAGCTGAGAATTCACACTGATTTAATTCCACTGTTTATATATCTTATATAGCATAACAAAGTAGTTTTATTTGAAATTCATGTGGTTATCATATATTCTTCAGGTAACTCTATACTTTAAGACATTTATTCTGCACTTATTTTATTTCATGTAGCACATCCTGCCTGGGAGCTTTCACTCAGATTCAGAAATATGTTTTATCGAATGTATAATGGAAATTGAGATGAACTTCTACGAGACTTGAAAATCACAAGTAATAAATCTATTCCCATCACTATCATTAAGCACTTTACCCCTTTCCCCCATAGTGCCATGAGCAGCTAAGCACCAGGGACAAATCCCTATTGGCATGCTGGATACAAAAATAGCACTAATAGCCACTTTTAGAGAAACCTCCAAGTTGCAGAAGGAATACTGACTCTTGGTACCTTGGAAAGTTTCAAACACATTTGGTGCATTTCTAACGATTTCATGCATGTTCTATTTTGAACAATGTGCCTGGGTGAAAACAAAGTGTTAAGTGATTCCTTAAGTTCAAAAACAGCTTAAGATTTACAGGAAGTAGATTGTTTTTCCTAAGGATTATATCATTAGCCATAGCACATATATACGAAGGAACTAAAAATAAAATAAAATATAGTTCTGAAAGAGCAAACAAACTGTATCCAAGAGAGAAATCAGGTGTCTTGTTAGCTCCCAGCTGAAATACCTGATATTAATTCTGTCCTCTTAGTAAAATACTTTCAAATGAAACTTCAATACTTTTCTTCCAGAGACCAAATAAATGGAAAGTCAATGTAGAGATTATTTCCTAGTACGTGAAATATTATTTACTGTGGTAAAGTGTTTAAATACTGAAGTTCTTTTTTTTAAAAATTTTTTAATACTGAAGTTCTTGATGGAGATTAGGGGCAGTAAGTGAACATTGTAAGGAAGAAACACTTTGTGAATACGTCTGCCTAAATGCCAGCTTTAAAAGGCTGTTAAGCCATTATTCTAGCCCAAATCTGACAAGATCTTTGGAATGGAATCAAAATCTGAAGTCAAAGTGAGACTCTAGACTTTAAAGAAATTCTGACTTCAAGTAAAAATGGCATTTGCATTTTCCTTCATAGATACAGTGGGTTAGGCTGTATAGGAAGTCCAGATGGTACAAACTTCAGCAGGACCTATGTTTGATTTGCTACTTTTAAAAGATTAATCAATTAAAAACACTTCAGGGGGAATCAGAAAGACAGCACCACCTCATTGTTATTGTTGTTGCTGTTGGCTTGTGTTTTCCCTGAGTTTTGTTTTTCTTTCTAGACTCCACTTTGGGACTTTGTCCATTTTCAAGCCCTATTACACCAAGACTGCAGATTTGAGTATTTACCTTTATCCCCGGAAGTCCAGGCAGCCCAGGCAGCCCTGGTTCACCCTACATAGGAAAATTACATAACATTATAGAACAGTATTCACTGAGGCACAAATTGCTGGAGAGAGAAATGGCAAATGTGGCTGGAATCTCTGTAGACACCCTTTCTGCATACATACACACAGAAATACTGTCTAACTCCAAGAAAGATGGTGAGATTGTATGGTTCAGTCAACTCTTGATGATTCAGGGGTTGGTTAATCAGTCCGCAGATTATTTATACAACTTTAGATTATTTCACTTATCATTAGCATCCTCCCCAAAAGGTGCACAAGGAAAGAGCTAACTCAAGCCAGTACCTTTTGCTCCTTCCAGACAGTTCAGGAAGGGAGATTGAAACTACTGGTTAACGTGAAGCTTTAGGGTTCAACATGGATTTCAAATATCCATCTTAGCCCAATAACCTCTTACCAACATGCAATCAAGAGTTGGCTGTATGAACAAATGCTAACATCAAAACAATGCATATCAAAAGTCTTACTAGCTTTTAAGTAGAGGAAGGCTTCTTCTACATTCTTGGATGATGAGGAGATAAGTGAGTAGTTAAAATTATGCTTAACACCACTATATAATTGTGACAATTGTTCAAGTGTAGGAAACCCTACTTAGCTACTTGGTGGGTACTGCGCAGCTGTTCAGTGAAGGCAGGTTTGAGATTAAGTGGTGCACTCTGGATGAGTGTATTGGAGTCACACTAAACCTTCTCATTTTCATAGAATTGTCTGCATTATTTTAAGCACTAAGTGTGGTGACAAGATGTACCGAAACTACATTGCTTAGAAAATCCCTTGCATTCCACTGACTAAATCATCAAACAGAGTGAAAACGGAGGGGGAAAAAGCATACACATTGGGGCTAGAACAATTACATGGATGTTATCTGATTTACACAAATTATACTATTTCATCATGGTAGCCCAGTGCAGATAGACCCATTCCCTCTCATGGTAACAGATATAGCATCAAGTAAAGAGAGAGAAGAGAGGAAGGAAGGGAGGACCAGGCACAGCTGGAGCAACTCATTTCATGTGCAAATCTGTTGAGAAATTTCAGGACATTTCGATTAGAATACCAATTCCTTGCAAGTTCTACAAATATATAATTTGCTAAAAAAAATTATCTGGAAAATAATGATTTCCAAAATGATTTACTGAAGGATGAATATAAAGGGAGAAAACACTAGTTTTCTCCTATTTCATTCAAAATTCCTTTCAGAATGCAGAAGAAAAATCATGCTTACTGAAAGCTTTAAAAGACAAGTACATCTATATTTTAAGCATAAAATGGGTCCAAGACATGTTTCCCAACAGTTCTGCTTCATTGTTCATAATGCTTCTGGTCAAATCACATTTCTCTGGATAGATTGAACTTCCCAGTCGTAACAAAATACTTCTCTTTCTTTTCTTCCTCTCTCAAAGAAGTTACATCTTTCTAGGAGAACTGATTCTATCCATATGAGATTATGGTCTTAGTATGTTCTTTTTCCTGAAATGTACTATATTTTTTTCTCTCTTTTAAAGTGTATATTTCCTTTGAAACCATACTAAACAGAAGTCTAGAAAATGCAACTATTAAAACTAAGTAGAACTTGTGTGTGTGTGTGTGTGTGTGTGTGTGTGTATGTAGATATGTTTTTATATACAATGCAAAGTGAAGACACATTTAGAATAATGGAGTTTAACTCACTAAAACATACCTTCGTAGACTTTAGGCTAGTAACATTGCTCCTTCCCCCCAAAATAAAAGGTGTCTCTGTGATTTATGAGAGAAAATTATTACAAGGAGAATCAATATGAATATGAATACAACTCTGGACTTCTAGGGAGGATCAATTGTCCAGAAAATTTTGGAATATAATGGAATGAAATGTAATAATGTTTGAATAGAGTATTTTCTTATACAGTTAACCATTCCTTTCATATACAGAGAGTGATACATATGCATTTCTATAAGTTTATGTTTATTTTGTAGCCATTGATTATGTTAACTGATCATCTGTGATCATCCGAGCTTGGCTTTTATTAATTTGTTTTCCATCCAATCTATTTTTTTGGTTGATACAGACATAACATCCCTCACTGTGGACTTTCTCCTCCATCTGTTTGAGGATCTATTCTGCATGCTCTGTGTTCCTCTTTCTCTTCTTTAACACAATCAAGGCTCTCTCCATCAGTTTGGGTAGTGCAATCAAAGCTATTTCTTCTCTTAGCAGAAATGAACTCTCCTTTTTCATATTTATCCACTCCTGTGCTCAGCAATTCCTTTGGGTCATGGCTGAAAGGCAGCCCTAATAGATAGGGTACGTGTGGAGAGCTAATGGGGCCCTTTTGCACCAGAAGAATAAAACTTGAATGACTGTAAGAAAAACAAGGCCTGATTCCAGGAAACCCTGTCCAGCTTCCCCCAGCAGGGTTCTCTCCTCCCAATCCAGGTACCTGCTGCCATCGGCCATCAACACTAAAAACCACTGGTCCCAGCTGTTCAACTTTCTCTCCTGCTCAATAAAAGGGGGCGGGGGACTATTTTCCCTGAATGAACAATGCTTGACAAATTTCCTATCCCTGTTTTAGATTTAAAATACTTGCAGAAAAGTAGGGAGCAGTATTCTGAAAGTGAATGTGGTACATAGAAACGTAAACTCACACATTCAACACAGATGCACATATGCATTAGAGCATCCATGCTCTAATGCAAAGCATATACAGAGAAATTTAAAATAGAGCTAAAAACAACTTCCTTACAATCTTATGCTAGATTTCAGTTACAGAAGTTCTATACTCATCAGGGTGAAATTAAACATTCAGAAAGTCAAATCAGCAACTGGGTTGGTGCTCTGTTATGTTTTTATAAGGTTGCTCCTAAGACAAGAATTATAATTTGCCCACTGCCAGCTACAACTGAAGCATAGATGACCGCCATACTGTGGAGGGGGGAAAAGATGTGGGGAAGTGGAATTGAGCTTACAGAAACTCCAAATCAAGAGTGAAAAATGGCATTTACTACTATAGACATTCTACTTCTCATCTAGTGCTTGGATTTATAAACTCTGCAAAACCTAAATATTCTCTCATTTAAATAAGCAAATTTCAAAGACTTTAGTAGGTAGTGGTGACACTGATATCAACTGGTGCTGTCTTGCCTAAATATCTGCAAAAAACTGGGGGAGGGGACTGCTAACTTTTAGGAATATATTTATTTAACTCCAAGATCAACGTTAAATAAATTCAATCCTCTTTTCTAAATGCAATGCTAAAGCATTTCTTTGGAATCCGAGGAAATCTAAAGGAGTTATCTATGAGCCTTCCAGGAACAGGTTTATACCACAGTGCCAAGTAACCTTGGTAATGCTCCATGAAAGCCACTTTTAAGTGAAAAATTTTACATTTAAACCAACAGAAACTATAAAAGTGTTTTTGTATCTGAAGCGGTTTTAGACACACCTGCTTACCAAATCACATTTCATTTTGAATAATTTAAATATGACCTACATATGTAAAGTTCAAGAGACTTAGTATCTCTATCATGAGTAAAATCCACTTGTGTATTTCACGCTCTAGTGGTCTGTCGTCCCAAGTTCACAGCACTCAATTCAAAAGTCTGCCATTTTCTCTTCAATGGAAGAAATCACAGGAATCTTAGGCTAATACTTGAAATGTTCTTAAGGCCTAGAAGGATAAGCTTGAAGTTCCACTGATTACAGTGGAACTGACTGGGTTTAGTCTTTTTCTCTCCTTAAAAGGATTGCCTTCAACGTTAGAGCCCCAAATGAAAAGGCCTTTTCAAAAATTACTTGAATCCTTAAGTGTTTAAAACAAAAGACTGGCCCTCTCAATGTCTACATGAGTGTGAGAACAACATTTTATTATGTCCCCAGGTTCCAGATGAATACAATAAGATTCATTCTCTCATTTCAATTTCACTAATGAAGTAAATTCCATCTTGCGATTCATCTTTCTTTCTACAACATCATACGCCACCAGACAAAGACAAAGCCATAATTTTATACAAGATCTAATCTAATGTGGAATTCACATTTACTAGCTAGTGACAATACATCTGTTATTCCAAATCTGATTGCATTGGGCATTGAAATCCAGATGCTCACATGATAAATGACTGCCAGTTGTTTCCTGCACATTCAACTCAAATGAGCAGATAAATCTAAACATACTTAACAGAGCCTTTAATTTATTACCCAAGTGAGGCACAAATAATAAACAAATGTAAGGTTTCCACAGATTAACTGGTTAAAATAGTTTTGATTAGTGTCTTTAAATGAAACTCATGTTTATTAACAGAATTGGTTTGCATATCATAAAATTGACTACATAGGGTGTTACAAATAATTTACATTTAATACTATCAACAAGAGAGCATCTACGATGAAAAAAAAAGTGTAATTTTTTTAAAGAGCTGCCCATCACTTCTTACTGAGGTTATTTTGTCAACATGCATCTCTTCTGAACAAATGAAGATAAGAGAGCAAATGTGATTAAACATGCAAGATAAAATAGTTAGCATTCCACCCTAACTGGTCTTTGTTAGTCTCAGACAGCTGAGCATATGCAGACTTTTGGTTCACAAAACGCTTCCTTACCACAAAGAAATTTATTTTATCCCCACCTTTGGCCTTACTCAACATCATGGTATTTAAAACACAAAAGCACCAGCAAAAACTCTGAATGTAATTCATTTAAAATGTACTGTTTTGCAGTCCTTAGTTTCAGAAAATATTTAATTGTAGTCAGTGATTGATAGAGATGAAATGTATGAGGATGAAATAAAGAACCTAATAGAGAGAATGAGAAAGAAAGAGAGAAAGAGAAATCTTTGAAAGATTACCTTTTGCCCTGGACGGCCAGATTCTCCAGGTTCTCCCTGACAAAAGAAAAAGGACAATTCAATTCAAAGAGGAATTATCTAGTACCCTGTGTCAGGTATTACATCTACTTGGTGCTGGATGACAAGATGATAGGAACAGTCTTGTCAATTATTTTTTGAAAACATCTTAACTACAGTCATGCTCTGCTTTGTCCGGAATACTCAGGATTCAGCCCACATTCAAGTTAATCCTACACATATTTCTTAAACACCTACCAAGTTTAAGGCATTCAGTATTATGTGCTGGACATAACTCTTGTCATTCACCTGTATTTTATCTTAGTATTCAGTATCTCATTAAACAATTTATCCACAAAACCAAGTATCTTTGAAAACCAAGGAGAATGGGAGGAATATTAATAAGCCCATATTAATAATACCAATAGTTCAACTGTCAGATTTCCACCTGAAATTTCTCTACTCCCTTTGGGTCCTCAGTTTATGAGCCAGTACTTGTTTTCATGACTAAAATAATGCATCAGAAAAGTAGTTGCTGATTAGTCAGTTTTTCTGTCATCAATACCTGTTCTGGGGTTTTCTTTGCAAAGATAATGGAATGGTTTGCCATTTCCTTCTCCAACTCATTTTACAGATAAGGAAACTAAAGCAAATAGGGTTAAGTGACTTGCTCAGTCATACAGCAAGTGGACAGATTTGAACTCTGGTCCTCCTACATCCAGACCCGGCACTCTATCCACTGTACTATGTAGCTGACCATCAGGAAAATATATTATGATTAATGGTTATAGTTAGTGAAAGGGAAAAAATAAAATAAACTCCAAAATGAAGACCATGACTCTCTGGAAGACAGTGCATGTTCAGAAGACATACAATTACCTTAATTCCCGCAGCAGAAGATCCAGGGTCACCCTGATTGAAAACCCACAAGAAAATATTCCATATGTGATAATGATAGTGGTCCAGAAAGCATCAATACATATACAATCAAGGTTACTAAAGAATGTATACCAAGTGTCTCTTCATTCACACTGACTATACCCCAGAGGATTTCATACAAATGCACTTATTATTAAGATGTCATTATTTTCCAATGTGGAACAATTTATTTTCTATGTATATCATCAAAGTTGTTCTCTCCCCACCCGTTAAGGATTCCATTCTTTAGTAACCAAAATTTTTTCACCTTGAGACTGTACTAAAAATGTAATAACATAACGTCTTTTTCTGCTTTTTCATTCACACGTACGGCATGTGTTATGATTTACTGGTTTCCATTTAGAAAAAAGTGGATAATTTTAATTACATTAAATTAAAAAAGGTTTTGTACAAATAAAACAAATGTAGCCAAGATAAGAAGGAAAGCAGAAAACCGGGAGGGGGATTTTATAGACAGTTTATCAGATAAAGGGCTCATATCTAAAATATATAAAGAACTTTGTCAAATTTTTAAGAATACAAGTCATTCCCCAATTGATCAATGGTCAAAGGATTTGAACAGGTAGCTTTCCAATGAAGAAATCAAAATAATTCATAATCATATGAAAAATGATCTAAATCATTATTTATTAGAGAAGATCCAGGGATCTTGACCATTTTGGGGTCATAGACCCCTTTGGCAGTCTGATGAAACCTATGGGCTCCTTAGAATATTTTTGAAAAATTCACAACTAAAGGAAAATGTTAAATTTCAGTTAGATATTAGGGAAAATTGGTGAGAATTGATCTGATTTTTTTCCCCAACCAAGTTCATGGCCATGTTAGAACCCGTATGTGGCAGAAGCAATATCCTAACCCTTCTCTCATGTATGTTAAGCTACTGTTTTATTAAAACATATTGAGATTTTCTTTGAGTCTTCATTGGTTCAGGAGACTAAAGACTCACACTACTGATGTCATTTCCTTATCACCTGAATGAGCCACGCAGAGCTCCAAGTATGCTCTGATGCCTTCCAATTAGATTCAATGCAATCAATGTTTATTAAGCACCTCTAGGCACTGTGCCTGGGCTCAATGGGGACACAGAAAGAGTGAGAAGACAGTTCCTGCCCTCAAGTTCCTGTCCTTATTACAAATGGAGGGAGAAGGAACAACATACAAATATATATAAAGTAAGCTATCTACAGGACAAATAGGAAGTGATTAAAAGAGGAAAAGCACTGGAATTAAAAAGGGCTTCCTGTAGGAAGTGAGATTTTATTGTTGTTTTTGTTTTTTAGGAGGTGAGATTTTAGTTGGGACTTAAAGGAAGCCATGGATGTCAGTGGTTAGAGTGGAGAAGGGAGAGGATTCTAAACATGGGGGGCAAAGAAAGTATCTTGTTCATGGAACAGCCAGGAGGCCAATGTCACTGGATCAAAGAGTATATGCCTGGAAGTAAAGGGCAGGAAGACTGAAGAGGTAGGAGAGAGCTAGGTTATGAAAGGCTTTGAAAGCCAAACAGAGCATTTTATATTTGCTCTCAGAGGCATAGGGAGCCCCTAGAGTTTACTGAGTATAGGGGTGACATGATCAGACCTGCATTTTAGGAAAATCACTTTAGTGGCTGAATGGAAAATGGACCAGAATGGGGAGAGACTTGAAACAGATAGACCCCTCAGCAGGCTACTGAGAGGGGACAAGGGCCTGCAGCAGGGGAGTAGCAGCTCAGACATGGGTAGTCAGAGAGGATGACTCCTAGGTTGCAAGCTTGAGGGGCTGGAAGGATGGAAGGTTGTCTACTGGACATCCAGTTTGAGAAGCCTGAAAGGCAATTGAAGATGATAGATCATGATGGCTAGGGAGGCAAGGGAGTTTCCCTCAGCCTAATCAATTGAAGATGTCTTCAATGTCTATCTCTATTGAATATCCTTCTCCTGCTATGGCCAAGTCAATCTCATTTTGTCAACTGTGGAATAACCCACAAGTGTCTTGACTTATTCTAATTATTCAACATAAACTACCAGGGGACTCGCCTGAGTCAGGCACAGCTCAGAACACCTTGCTATACACAAATGCTTAAAGTATGGATAACAAAGATGGTTAACTAGAGATCCTAATACAGGTACAAGTAAATTTGATATGTGTTACCGTGATGGTTCGATAAAGATTTAACCTTATCCAAAAGGAAAATTACGGGTAAAACATCTGGAGGGGGAAGGGGCAGGGCAGCAATACTGTATGTTAAGAATATATACTCAAGTATAGGAATCAAGAGTCAGTCAACACACATTTATAATAGACTACTATTGTACTAGGCACTGTAGTAAGTGTTGCACCAAAAGGGTAGGCAACATTTGAGTGAAGGTCAAAGGAAGGAGAAACAGAAATGATAATGTTATCAAGTTATGTTACAGATAAAAAGAGGAAAGGGACCAGGAGTTTGGGAAACAGATCACAAATCGGATATGGAGGCCAGGTAGAGTTGTAATGGGAGACTTCCATTTTCCAGACATATGCTAGAGCTCTCTCTCTTTTGCTCTCAGCCAAAAGCAGAACAGTTAATAACTACTTGGCTTGTCCTAATGAGAATTTCATCCTTCAAAAGGTGGAGGAAACCACCAGGGGAAATGCAGCTCTGGAGCTGACCAATAAGGAAGAAATGGCTACTGAAGCAAAAATGATGGAAACTATGGGTCAATGTGACCACTCTGTATCTTAAAATTTGTGATCAAGGAGGGGAAAGAAAGCTAGAAATGGTGTGGGAAATTGAATAGCAAAGGAGTCAGGGAAATGATACATAGGATCCTTCAACGGGGAAGTCAGTTCATGAAGGATGGGAAGGACTTAAGAAGGCAAGTCTGAATACCCAAAGAGAGCAGATTTATTGACAATGAAAAAAAGAAATAGTTTAAAGAGATAGATTTAGGAAACGGCTGAGGTGAAGCTCATGAGGAAAGCCTGACTTTTAAAAAAGACCATATGAGGGAAAGAAGATGATAAAAGAAAAAAAGGGGAAAAGAAGGGAAGAAGTTTTTCTAAAGCACCTACTGTGCTTTTCAGCCAGACACTGTGCTAAGCACTTAATTTATTTCATTTGATCTTCACAATAATCCTGTGAGGTAGGTGCTGTTATTATCCTCATTTTACAGGTGAGGAAACTGAGGCAAACAGTGACTTGGCCAGGATCGCACATTTAGGAAGCATTTGAAGCTGATTTGAACTCAGGTCTTCCTAATTGCAAGCCTAGGACTCTATCCGTTGCATCATCTAGCTGCTCCAGCTAACGGAAAGGTCGACTTCTTAGTTGTGGAAAGGATGATAACTAACAATGTGTTGAAGATAGAACTACTCAACTCTTACTTTGCTTATGTATCACCACCTCCTTATTTGGGGGAAGGAAGGGGAGAAATGGAATTATCTTTGGCGCCAAAGGGGCCAATAATTTTTGGACAGGAAACTGCAAAATAAAAATTTCTAAGAGGGAGTTGATATCCAAAAGATGTAAGAAAATGGTAAAAAAAAAAAGCATCTAACTGTACTTGATGAATTTATATCAAAAGACTATTGAAAGAACTGTTGAATGTGATTGCTGATGATCAGTGATCTTTGAAAGAATGTAATCATGTAATCAACAGGAGACACACCATGGGTCTGTAGAAGGGCAAATATTGTAATTTTTAAAGTGGAAGAGAATCAGTTTCACAAACTCTAAGTTTATCTCTAATTCCTAGCAAAATTCAAGAATGTATTGTTAAAAGGATGGCTAGTGAACATTTAGAAAGGGAAGAAGTAGGCAAAAAGAAAGCACATGGCTTCGTTGAAAGCAGGTCATGCCAGACTAACCTAATTTCCTTTATCAGCAGGCTTACTAAACTGGTAGATCAGAGGAATATTGCAGGTATCATTTGCCTGAATTTCAGCCAAGTATCTTAACTGAATCTTGAAGAGAAGCAGGTATTCTAAGAGTTGGGGTTGAGGAGAGAGAGCAGTCCAGGTATGGGGAGGTAAGCAAGCACAAAGGCAAGTATGCATGTGATGGGCTGTTGTGTTCAGAAAAGATTAAATAAAACATTTCCTCTGGATGATATTTTATGTGAAGGAGAGAAATTTGAAATCAGTACAGAAAGATGGGTTGGATTAAGATTGTAAAAGACTTTTAGTGCCAGGCAGAAGAGTTTGTATTTTATCCCGAAGGCAAAAAAGGAATCACCAAAGCTTTTTGAGCAAAGGAATGACAGGGTCACACCTGTGTTTTACAAATATCAATTTGGCAGCTATGTGGAGGATTAATTGAAGTGGGAGAGATTGGACTTAGGGAGAATAATAAGGAGACTCTTGGAAGAGTTTGTGGGAGAAGTGATCAAGGCTTGCTGGCTACATGGTCAGGGAGAAGGGAAGAGAAGCAAGAGGGACTATGGAGCTAGATTTGACAAGAGTTGGCAATTCATTGGCTATGCGGGGACAAGGAAGAATAAAAGTAACATTGTGTGGCAAATAGAGTACTAGACTTGGAATTAGCAGCTTCTGGCTTGAATCCTACCTCAGACACATACTAGCCGTGTGATCTTGAAACTCTTCTACAAAAGGAAAGTGGTGGACTCTAGTGACTTCTAGGGTTTTTTACAGATCTAAATCTAGGGGTTCTATGATCCAAAGGGCTGAAGATGATTGTTGGGTTGTAAACCTGGGAAGGATTTTAGATCTCTCAACAGAAATAAGGAAGTTTGGAAGTCAGTGGGTTTAAGATGGAGGTGGAAATAGTGAGTTCTGTCTTGGGTAGATCTCATTCCAGACACCTATGAGACATATATGTTGAGACGTTGATTGATGTTGGAGGAGAGAAGAGAGAGACAAAATCAGAATTTGAATATTTGGGAGTCATTTGAAGAGATGATTATTGAACTCATGATAACTGAGATCACCAAAAAAAAGTGTTGAGTAAGGCAGCCCAGGTCAGAGGTGTGTGATATACCCAGAGAAAGAGGTGTGGG